ATTTCCATGCCCATTAGCTTTTCAAGGTTCCCTGAGAACTGAAGGATAATGTCTGGAATTTTCACATAGATTTTTAATTTGTGGAATTGTCCTATCACTATGAAACATCACTGTGACTTTGACATTTCTTCTATTTGTGGAGTCTCTTTCAGTGTTCTAGAACCTTCACTGGCCTTGTAACTTGCTTAATCAACAGGTGGAGAAAAACAGAAACACAATTTCTGAGATTAAGTGTAAGAGACCTAGTATTTTCTGATTCTATTTCCTGAAATATAGTTAGCCGTGCAGGGGCCCTAATGCACCTCCTGGAATATGGGAGGCAATGTGGGAAAAGCCAAGGCATCACAGCCAAAATTCAACACCAACGTCAAGACAGCTGAACGAGGTCATCTTCTCTCAACACAGGTCAAATCTCACCTGGAATAAACCACAGGAGATTCCCAGACAATATCAGCAAAAGACTCTCAAGTAATCCCCAAAACAATATGAAATTTAGGAAAAAAATCCTGGAAAATGAAATTTCAAAATTCATCTCCAATCAATATGAGAGTGCTAACTAAATATTTGTAATGTAGAACATTATTTTTTTTCCTTTTAATGGTTTTGTTTTAAGATACAACTCACATAGCAAAACAATCACTCATTTGAATGATTCACTCATAGAATACTCTAAGGTTTGTGTGTATTCAGATATTTTTAAACTGAGATTTTTAAAAATTATTTCAAAAATAATTATTCTTTGGCTAGCATATCATACACCCTTTATACTTCTCATCTCTAAAAGAAACCTTTAGACTACTTTCATATCTCTACACTGGCATTTCCTGAACATTACAGGTAATGCATTATGTAACACGTGTAGTTTTGTGATTATCATCTTCCATATATACTGTGTTCATTGTTAATTCATGTTGTAGAATATAAAGATGTTTCATTCTTTTTGTGAACAAATTACCGTCTATTATATGGGCATTTCATGTTTTGTTTACTCATTGGTTCTTGGACACTTGGGTTGATTCTCCCTTTCAGCTGTTGGGAATCTCATTCATATGACCTGTAAACACTTGTATGCAAGTTGTGAAGAAAGACATTTTCATTTCTCTTCACAATGTATTTATGGCCAGAATTTGTAACTCAAAAGATAAATATACATTCAATTATAAAAATTGTTTGCAAAGTTTCTGCATTATTTTGCATGCCACTAAGTCTATGAGTCTTTCAATTTTTCCATGTCCTTGCCAATTTATTTTATAGACTGCTGTTTTTTTTTCTAGTTGTTGTAATGGTCTGAGGCAGTGTCCCAATTCTAGTTTTGATTTGCCCTGACTTCATGATTATGTTATGAAGTTACATAATCTCTTAATGTTTTTATTAGATTCATGTCTATTCCTAAGACTTGACATTTTATTAGATTATTTATCATCTCTATGATTAACTTATGATCATCTTATAGAAGAAGATACAAACTCTTTATGAGATAGGTAATTTGCAAAAGTCTCTGTAGTCTGCTGATAGCTTTTTCAATATATTTTACTTTCCATTTCCACTATTGCTATTTGAACCCAGGCCTTCAACATACTAGTGGAGATTTCTGTTACTGAGGTACTATTGAGGTCCTTTCAATATGCTATCAGAGGAAAAAATGGTCATCAGTGTTGCCCAGCTGTAAACCCTGAAAGCTAAAGGGATGACTAGATTGGTAAGACCTGACTCCTGGTACAGCAGCAACATGAGTATCATAGTAGCAACCAACAACTTTATGATTTTAGGATCACTCCACAAAAGGAAACTCATACCTGGTACCATTATTGGATCAAAATCCCATGACTAGACAGATCATAGACCCTAGGAGAGAACCCACAAATATCTTTCTGCCAAATGAGCATAGTATTTAAAAAATTCTAATGACTTCTTAATACATCTCTCAACCTCACCAGAGAAAATTATATCTGTGGTAGATGGTAATTGGCACACAGAGAGACAACTGTCAAGGTACAGATAATAAAAGACTATAGAGCCGTCTATATAGACTATAGGGACATCTTTATCACACCTCTCCTGCAAAGGTCAATCACTTTCTGACTGTATTTGAGGGTCACCCCATAGGAACAAACTCGTGGTTGGTTCTGTAAATCTGAGAAAGAACCTGTCACTTTTGTCATAGGTCCTAGGGAAGAACCTGCTACGAGTGCTTTGTTAAAGGGCCATGTTATCAGACTACCTTCTAAATATTCATGCTTATACCCTAACTTTCTTGAGTAAGCCTTGAAGCACACTTTTTAAATTTTTTATTAAAACTCATTTTAGAATTTATTTTGTCTTTTGCTACCTGTTCTTTTAGCATCATGAATAGTTGCATGTTTTCTTCTGTCTGTGCTCATATTTATAGATTGATTCATTTTTAACTCTTGTGTATTGTGAATAAGAATTCATCTTTAATTTTTGTCAATATCTATAAATTTGTCCTAGAATTGCTGTTAAAAATTATTCTTTTCCATTTAGCAATCATGACATCCTTCTCAAAAAACAGTTGACTATTCTCCAACATGTATTTTATGCATCTTTGTCAAAACTAAGGTTGTTATAATTGCATGAGTTTATCTGTGTGTGTGTGTGTGTGTGTGTGTGTGTGTGTCTTCTATTCTATTCCCTTGATCTATGTGTCCAGTTCTGTGTTAGTACCATGCTGTTTGCATTATCATGGTTCTTTAGTATAACTTTATATTGGGTATAATACTATATCCAACATATTACTACCATTTTGCTCATGATTGATTTGCCCATTGTGATTTTAAGTGCATTCATATTAATTCTAAGATTGTTTTATATTTCTGCAATGAATGTCATGGGAATTTTAGGGGATTGCATGGACTCTCTCAATTTCTTTTGAAAGACTGGCTGTTTCAAAATAATAATTTTATTTCCTCTTTCAGATCATTGGAGCTCTACCTATTTTCTAGTGTCTTCATTGATTTAGTTCTCAGAATCTTAAAGTTTAAATCACCTTCTTAGTTGCATCACTTCAAGGTGTTTCTTTTAATTTTGAGGTTATTGCAAATAGGACTATATCCTTGATTTCTCTTAGTGTGTTGTTACTGGTATAGAGAAAAGATGGCTACTTTTTGTATATTAGTTTGTTATCTTGCCACTTTGCTAAAAGTGTTTATCAATTTTAGGGGGCTATAGTAGAGTCTTTAAGATATCATGTATATAAATATGTTATATACAAACAGGGATATTCCAATTTATTTTCCAAGTTATAGCTCATATTATTTCCTTATCTTGTTTTTTTTTCTTGCTAAAACTACGAAAAATATATAGAGTAGGAATGAAAAGAGTGAACAGCCCTCTCTCATTCTTGATTTTAAATTGTTTCAAATTATTCTACATTTAGTATGATATTGGCTATGAATTTGTCATTTATAGTCTTTATTATGTTGAGGTGTGTTCCCTCCAGCCCTGTTCTTCTCAGGGTTTTTATCGTAAATGGATGTTTGCTTTTCTCACAAACCTTTCTCCATTCTTTAAGATGGTAATGTGGTTTCTTTATGATTTGCATATATTGCATCATCCTTAAATCTCTGGAATGAAGCCAACTTGGTCACAGTCAACAATCCTTTTAGTGTATTACTAAACTTGGTTTAGGGATATTTTGATAAAAACTTTTACAACTATGTTCAACAAAGATATTAGACTGTGGTTTTAGTTATTGCATTTTTTGTTTGATTTTGGTATTAGAGCAATACTAGCATTGTAAAGGAAGATTAGAAATGCTCCTTCTAATTTAAATTCATTGCCAAAGTTTGAGAAGCATTGGTTGTAGTAACAATCTTAAAACTCTGGTACATTCTGCTACGAATCCCTCTAGACATGAGCTATAATTTTTAGTCTGGAGATGGTCTTTGTGTTACTATTGCTTCAATCTTCTTATTATTTACAGTTCTGTTCAAACTATTATCTCAGTTTAACTTTAGTGGGTCAGATGCATATAGAAATTCATTCATTTCTTTTCTGCTTTCCAACTTAGTGGGATGCATGTTTCTAAAGTACGTCCTCATGGCTTTCTGAATTTATTTTACAATCCCTGCAATATCTCTCTTTACATGTGCAATGTTATTGACTTGGGTCTTCTCTCTTGGTTAATGCAACTAAGAGTTTACAAGAGGGCTTATTTTTTTCAAGGAACCAACTCTTTTTTTAATTCTTTAAGGTGTTTCTGTTTGTTTCCATTTCATAACTTCTGCCTTTATCTTCAGTATTCCTTTCAATCCACTGCTTTGGGGCTTGTTTTTTAAAACAAGTTGAGGGAGCTCAGCAAGAAACTTCTGCCACACCTGGCAACTAGAGTCCAATCCCTGGGAGTCACATGTTAGGGAGCTGGCTCCTGCAAATTGTCCCCTGACCTCCATTCATGTTCCATGGTACTCATATGCACACACACACACACACACACACACACACACACACACAGTAAATGTAGCAGAATAGTTAAACTAAAAACATTTGTTGCTCAAGGTCATTTATGCACATACACATATGTAATTAAAGTCACTAAGAAACAGCGGACAAGAAGTCTTAACTAAATTTTATGGCACAGAGGGTTAAATTGAATTCTTTTCTTAAAATGAAATGGTGAGTGTGTTTTTAATCACCACTGTTTTCCTTGAACACAGAGCTCAGGAATAGTCCAATACCACTATTATGCCTTCTGTTCAAGATGAGTGGATAAAGTTGTTACTGAACAACTGAAAGACAATCATTAATCTCCTCCCGGTATGAAAATGATTCTGTTAAACAGTCACTCTGGTAACTGTTTTTTCTACAAAATGAATTGAATCTTCTGATGAGTAGTGACTGAAAAGGCCTTCTTTTTCTTCTTCTTCTTCTTCTTCTTCTTCTTCTTCTTCTTCTTCTTCTT